TGTAACTGAATAACATTTTTTAAAAAATTAAATGGAAACTATTTAATGCCTTTTTAAAACTATTACAAGGGCCAACAAGATTTCTTTGGTTTCTTTTACCCAATATAAGGATACTTTAATCCTTTAATGGATAGATGATACCAATTATGAAGTATCATTCCTGTAACAAATGTATTGTGCGTTGAAATAATTTCTTAGTGAGTCAAACCACACAGAACTATCTATCTTATCCCAAAAAGCGGTACACAAAATAGAGGATCTTGATGGAAATACATTGGCATGGGAGCAGGAAGAATTTGCGGTCAAGTGTCCATTATGTGATAGCAGTGAAAATCCAGTACCTTAATGAAAATTAAGGTTGGGGTCATAAGGTCAGCTTTTCTTTAATTATGATTATTTTTTGATGAATTAGCTATTGCTTCTTCCAAATAAGAAGGAAAGTCTTTCCTCACTTGCCTCATAGGGTTGGTAGCTTGGAGGCTAAAACATTACCCTAGGATATCCCTGGTGTGCAGGCTAGGCAGAAGTGTAACAGATGAGGACTTGTGGCTTTTGCTACATTTATACATCTATATACACTGCCACAGGAAGTGGCGGCAGCTACAAGCATGGACAGCTTCAAAAGGGAATTAGATAAGCATATGGAGCAGAGGTCCATCAGTGGCTATTAGCCACGAGGTACAGATAGGGGCTCTGGGGCAAGTGATGCTCTGTCTTCTTGGTGCTTGGGTGGGGGGGTCAACAGTGGGAGGGCTCCTAGTGTCCTGGCCCCACTGGTGGACCTCCTGATGGCACCTGGTATTTCTGGCCACTGTGTGATACAAAGTGTTGGACTGGATGAACCTTTGGTCTGATCCAACATTGGCTTCTCTTATGTTCTTACGTTCTTATATCTTGTTCTGTTTTTGGTTTTTCTCACCAGTGTTCTTAATAACTATACTGGTTGTGGAAGGCATAGCCGTGGCTCAGAAGACTCAAGGTACAGTACAAGAAGTTCTTTGGGGAAAGCATTGTCATTCATGTTTATACATTAAAAAAAATAAAGTTCAGAATTCTTGTTTCTTTTGAGCAATTAAATGTGAAAAATAATTCCTTCATTTAGGAAAAAAACAGAAAAATAATAAAGCACGTTAACAAACTGATAACATATTCTGAGGCAATATACACTGAATGAAGAAATAGCTGTCTCTGTTCAACATATGTTCATATAATGTTGACATTAAAGGTCTATGCTAATTTTTTCCCTCACAACGCAATCGTGTGTGTTAATTGCTCCCTGAGTAGGAAGCATTCACAAAAAAGTCACTCCTGGATTTTGGCTGGCTTGCTTGGAGAATCAATTTGCACTGAATGTTCCATATGACGTTTCTGTGCATTAGATGTCTGTCTCTTCTCCCCCTCAAGTTGCTGTTCAGTCCTTATTCTTCCTTCCAAGACAGTAACACATGGAGGGGGAAAAACCTGGCTAAATTTGGTATTGGTGTAAATTGTTTTTAAATGCTTGTTTTAATGCTTCTGACTATTCATTATTGTGTTTGTGCTGCCGAATGGCCTAACTGCTACTGTGATCCGCCCTGAGCCCGTTTGCAGGGAGGGCGGAATATAAATTTGAAAAATATAAATAAATAAATAAATTCTAATTTCCATAGCTCTTCTGCAAAGGCTGAACCATTACAGGAACCTAAACGTTTCTCAATAGCCTAGTATATCTTGAGAAGTCCTGTAGTGGTCCAAAAATCTTGAGGACAGTACCCCTACAGCATTGCTCACCTTATCAAGAGAATATCCTGCCACCTTCCTGGAACTGTTATCCTAGCCATGGAAGAGCAGCAGCATAAAAAGTGTGAATGCTTTTTCTTGAAACGACCGTTCTGTATCTCATATAACCTACCTTAGGGCTGTGTGTGTTGGCAATCAAGTTACAGCTGACTTATGGTAACCCCATAGGGTTTTCAAGGCAAGAGAAGTTTAGAGGTGGTTTGCCATTTCCTTCTTCTGCATAGTGACCCTGGTATTGCTTGGTGGTCTCCCATCCAAATATTGACCAAGGCCAACCCTGCTTGGCTTCTGAGAGCTGAAGAGATCAGGCTGGTCCTGGCTATCCAGGTCAGGGATAGGGGCATATTAGCCGTCTTGAAAATCGAGAATCTCCATTTGTCTGTAAAAAGCCAGACGCAACTGCACACAGGCCCTATTCTGGTCAGGGCCAAATAAAGAGAAGAATTGGGGATAAACCCTTCAGTCCATGCTGGGTTTTGCTAATCAGCTTCTCCCCCACACCGTTATCAACAAATTAAAGGGGGGAAAAGACAGGTCCCTTTTTCAGAAGCAGTCTGAATAGCCCAGACTGGGCTCAGGCTCACAGAGCTTGGTACCTAAGCAGGGTTTGCCCAGGTTAGTACTTGGATAGGGGACCACCAAGGAAAACCAGGGTTCCTGTGCAGAGGCAGGAAATGGCAGACCACCTCTGTTAGATCGCGCTAACAAAGGATCGGAGAATGATTTCAGCTCAGTGATTCAGCTTTATTTGAAGTAGCGAACAAACACTCAAACGCATTCAAAAACCAGAACAGCTTAACATTGGAGCTATGCTCCTTTTAAACATTACCGGGCTAATATAGCCACGCCTATTTACAATTAACAACCAATGAGATTGATGAGTTAAAGGCCAATGAGAGTCTTTCCCTCGCTGGAGCTTGTGCAGTTCCTGATTGGTCGCTGTTAGAGGGCGACCAATGAGAGAGTGGTTCGGAGGAGCCTTCTTCTGGCTCAAGCTTTGCATGGGGAGTGAATGAGGCAATTCATACAAGCGATCTCAATACATTACAACCTCTGCTCAGAAAACCCCATGAGGGATACAATCACCATAAAGCAACTTGATGGCACTTAAGTATTGTTAATAAAAATGCAGGGGAGATTATTGAGTTCAGTAAAATCATGTGGGGCCTGAAGATCCCTTCCCCCCAACCCCACATCCTCCCCCCA